TTGAGCACTACGATGATCATTCCTCGAAGCGATATTCTGAGTTCATATGCGCATTTCTGCAAGAGTTCACCTGAGATTATCAGTCAGAGATTATCATTCCCAAACATTTCATATTTTAAAAATTGATCATTGTTCATTCATTGAGTGTGCATTTTCGGTTCATAATTAAAACTGAACATTGCACTTGAAATGTTACGTGAATATTGAAAAGTGAAGGGAACAAAGGAATGAATCACTTTAAAATCTTGATTGTCGTTCTCAAACTTTAATTATTCTGGTCGTGCTTGTTCAAATTGAAGCATTCAAAAATAGAGTTCATGGAAAATATGTGTACGATAAAATAAATTCGCTTTATTTAAGTTCTTTTGCAAAGTAAGTCGTACAATGAACGATGTGGTTTAACCTATTTCGAGCAGTGCTTTGAACAGGAGCGAAAAATTGGTGAAGGATCATTTGGTGAGGTTAGTATTGAAAATTCTATATTTGTCATTATTAAGTATTGTTTCATATTTTGTCTACATAGTTGCGATACAAAAGGTTATCATGCAAGTCGAATACTCAAACTTGATGTGCAACGGACTGCATTCACAGTAGCTCGGTGTGATTCCTCCATTGCAGTACTGTATTGTTTGCACCGAGGCCTTTGCAATGCTGCGCACTGAATGTGTCGTGGTTATTTTTTGAAATGAAACATTGGGCGAATGGTCACACTTCAGTGTATTGCGCACGGTTTTTGTAACGGGACAGTGGGTTGTTCTTATAAGAAGTGTTGTTTTATGTGAGTATAGGTTGGTGAACGAATTCAATTATTAGGTGTTTCGTGTGAAATCGAAAGAGGACAACAAATGGTATGCGGTAAAGAGAACAATTGAGCCGTTTCGTAATGCGAGTGATCGTGAACTCAAATTGAGAGAAGTTCAGAAGCATGAACTGTTACCGAAGCATCCAAATTTGGTCGAATTCATTCGTGCTTGGGAAGAGAAAGGACGTCTGTTCATTCAAACTGAACTTTGCGAATATAGGTAGGTGATGTTTTTAGTTGTTTTGATCGGATTTGATAAGTTTATGATTTCAAGAAAATCCATGCAAATTTATCGCGATATCGGTTCATACTCTTTCATAATGTTCGTGGACGTTCCTTAGTGTTTATGGCCACTAAAAATTTTCAACTTTGATTTTGATCAGTGATTGTATTGGATCAGCTTTGGCGGAAGTTTTCGTTAGTTTATTCATATGAACAATGATGTATAAATAGGCCGAGGATAAGTAGTGAATCAACTGTTGGTTGAGCACTACGATGATCATTCCTCGAAGCGATATTCTGAGTTCATGTGAACATTTTGGCAAGATTTCACCTGAAATTATCAATCAGATTATCATCCTCAAGCATTTCATATTTAAAAAATGATCATTTTCATTCATTAAGTGTGCATTTTCGGTTCATAATTAAAACTGAACATTGCACTTGAAATCATAGGTAAATATTGAGAAATGAAGGGAATAAAGAAACGAATCACTTTAAAATTTTCCTTATCGTTCTCAAACTGTTAGCAAAAAACAAATTTTTATAGTTTATCGGATTACGCGGAAAGAGAGCACAACATTCCTGAAGAGCAACTGTGGTTTTATTTTGCTGATCTTGTATCGGTACGTTTTTACTTTGTTTCGTCTGAAACAGTTAAGTGTTTTTCAACAGAGTTGTTCATTTACTGATGCAGTGAACGTTCGTAAAAGAGCGTTGTGAGTACCAATCGCCTTTTATCTCATTGAGTAACACACTCAATCGTATGCTGCAAAATTATTAGATTAATGTTTATTCTACTCACATATTGCTAGAATTTTTATTTTGAACCGTGATACTGAGAGTGTAACAATGAGGATATTAACTGATATTTTATTTTATTATCGAATTGCTGAATGTTACTTTAAGGCTGTTAATCATCTACATTCACATAACCTGTTGCATCTGGATATCAAACCTGAGAATATATTTGTGTCGCGAGATCAAGTTTGTAAACTCGGTGATTTTGGACTGATATTCGATCTGAATAAGGTTTCTGTTTTTTTGATATTCATCGTTTTGATTAGTTGTGCATTTGTTTGAGTTAAGTATAATAATGTGATGTTTTATATCTGTTTCGGAATGGATTCTTTAAAGAGGATATGTATCGTTTCCCTGTGAGCGGGACTGGCACAGTAACCAGCTTGTAAGAATTTCTGATCAAATGTTAGGGGAGCATTGGACCGGAAATAGGTGATAAGTCGTGGGTTCGAATCTCGCTCGTGGACTTATTGTTATCGTTATGGTTGATTTAAGGATACACTGATAACAGCTCGAGAAGGCGATAGTAAGTATTTAGCGCCCGAGGTATTAAACTCGCCACCTGATAAGCCGGCGGATATATTTTCACTTGGAATATCGATATTGGAGCTTGCCACCGATTTGGATTTGCCGTCAAGAGGTGAAGGTTGGCGTATGCTCAGAGAGGGCAACATACCCGAATCCTTCACTGACAGTGAGTGTTTGTTTTGTTATTTCATATTTAACGTGCCCTTTCAAGATGGTTGCTGATTCAGTTTTAAATTTAAAGCTATTGAATAAGAGTAATGTTGAGAATTATCACCGAAACTACGACATCTGATCTATTGGATGATGGACCCCGACTCGTGCAAACGACCAACTGCCGAGCAACTTCTGAACGATGTCACGATCCAATACTATCTTTCACTAAGACGTAAACAGCGCTCTACACAATTTGTAATTATTTATTATTTCTTATTATTAGTATTGGATTATCTCATTCCTTTAAAAATTATAAATTTACATATCAACTGATACAATAAGTTTTCGAATGCCATTTCAATGGTATATAACTGAACAAAGTAGTTGTTTTATTTCGATTGAAAGATATTAATTAAATGAATGTTTTCATAATGAACAAAATTCAGTCACACCATCTGTTGGATGTGTTGGTTGTGGTGTATGTTTACCTGGTATGTGTGATACAGTTCATTTTACGGCCCATTACGAAGTCGTTGTCATGGGCCACTGGAACTCCGTCAACACCACTAGCTGAAGAGTCACCCCGAAGAGCTGTGTTTTACAATGTTAGTGATTGTTCATTATTATTATGACATTTCGTTTCATCAATTCATTCATCAGTAATGATCGGTTATTGAAGGGATCAACACCAGAATCACCGAGTCGTCATGTTATGCCTCATTCGACGAATGTCGTTCAACGCCTTCGTTTCGATAGTTGTGACAGTGATGAAGGTAGGTATTCATTTTTATTATTCTTAATGAAGGGTATTCTACAGTTAAGAGTTTTATTGATGAACCGTAAATGAAATTATTCAGAATACGAAAGCAAAACGTATCTTTGGAAGCAATGAAATTTTTTGCAATAGTTTTTTGTGCATTAGAAATTCGCAGTGGAGTTATTATTTGTTGGTATTGAACTGTATGAAATGTTTCCGTTGAGAATTTAACTGCTTGAAAAGAAATACATTGTGTTTAGAGTGTAGGGGAATCGTCAAAGGTGATGAACTGTAGACTGTGAGTAGAATTTTAGTCGCGAGTAGAGGTTAGATTANCGAGTTGGTAGTGGGTTAAAAATTATAAGTTGAACACAAAGTTCTGATAAAGCAGTTGTGGTTTTTAGAAGGTGATGAAATTTGCAGATAATATCGAAAATAACGAGCAGCAGCATCGCCGCCATCATTTTGTGAACAAACATCGACATTATAAGAATTCACCTGAAGAGAGCGTCAGTGAATCGAATGGATGTTACAGCATCGATAGCAGTAAGAACGCTTCGTCGACAACTACCTCATCGAAACTCACATCGTTATCGCCTGTCTCGGCACGACGTCCCGATAGGTTCGTTGTCGTTTCTTTAGACATTTTGCATTTTGCATTTAAAACTTTATTGTTGTTTTGATTTCAGCCTCGAAAATGTTAACGAAAGTTTTTGCAATGTTAGTAAACGTTTAGTTGACATGGATTCCAAAAAATATTGATAACAGTTTGATGAAAAAACATGATGATAATAGTTGTGAGAATATTTCAGTGATAAAAATGAATTTAAGGCATTTATCAAATGCACTGCACAAAGACAAATTGGAATTGTCAGAGTCACCAAGGAAAGGCAAATCACCACAACGAAGAATATTAGTGGATGATCAGTTGAATAATCTGATTAATAATAAAGAGATTGGAGTTGACGAAAGTGACGATGAAGACGAACGCAATGAAAGTCGCTCGAGACGATTCCATTTGAAACGGAATTTGGTTGGTTACAAATATATCGGTGGAAATATTATATTATATTATATATTATATTAGTTTATGTATTAGAAATATTAGTATATTATATATATTATTAGTATATTGGAAATATTATTAATATATATTATATTAGTAATCGCAAGGTAATATATTATATTACAAATATTATATTATATGAGTGTTGGTGTTATGCGATTGTTGTTGTAATCGTAATCGTTTCAGCGTGCAGCCATGTCAGCACCAGTGCCTCGTCGTATGCGTGCTCAAATGCGGTCGTTAGCGATCAAACCGATACCCAAACTTGATTTCAGTCTGATCGAAACGCCCACCAAAGTGAATAATGTTAATGATCGCCTTAAAACCACCGAGCTATGTACCGCCCAAACAAAAATTCCGTTCTCATTGAGACAGGTTTCATCATTTGTCGTTTTTCATTGAGATGGAAATTGATTTTTTTTGCTCTAATTTTCGGTAACATTTCATTGAATTCGAACACATTTTCAATACATAATAGTGAAATTTGAATACGCCGAAATTTTAAATTGATCGTAAATTTTGAGATGAATCTTGTTGCAGGTGGATGATCGGGGCAGTTCTGCAGATGAAATGGCGTTTTGAATGACGGTCAGATGTTTTACTTTATGTTCATTGAAGCAACAAACGTGTACTATATCGGTTTTAATTAGTGTTAATTGTAATGATGGGAATCATTATCATTACTGTCATTGTTATATCATATTATTGTTATTTCAACTGTACTGTAGACGGTTACTAGGTGGTTGTTTTTTGTTGTACGATTGAACTTAATTGTGAGTGGGATGAGTGCAGGAGTATTGTTAGATCATCGTAGAATTACATTTGATGTGGATATTTGNATATTTGAAATAAGTTGAATTGGTGGTTTGTTGTAGAGGTGAGGTTTGAACAGAAATGAATTTAGTGAATATGAGACTTTTGAAGTAGATTCATAGTCAGTGAATTTTTTACTCGCGTTCCCAATTGATTCTATTTGTTTTACTCACGTTTACTGTAAAACAATTTCGATTCAATTATTATGTAAATTGTATATTTGAATAGCAGTACATTACAAATATGTGCGTGTACTTCAGTTTTAATCACTCCACTTTGTCAGTCGTCATCTTATTGTCCGTTCTGCTGAGTCAATGAATTGTTTTATTACTTCACTTATTTACTGCCTTATTTTTGTTAATGATGAATTGATTATATCATTTGTGCATTGTACGGTTGCTTATCTTGTAGAGTTTAGTTATTTGCATTTGATTGCATTGGAACCGTTTTGATCAATTGATTTGTTCATTCCTAATACTTGATCAAGCTCGTAGCTGAAATGCAGAAGTTGTTAAATTTGATTGTGAATGTTAAGAGGTTATNTGTGAATGTGAGGAGGTTATACGTGTATGTTTGTCTGTCGGTCGTTTTTTTTGTGGGGGAGGGGGAAGGATCCCAGTAAGATTCTGGTTCTATGAGCTTCGTGTAAATCTGATGCGAAGTGGTGTGAGCTTATTGTGCGAGTATTGACTTGAGCCCTTCCCTCAAGCCTGAGCCTCACATTCACGAGTTTATCGTAATACTAATTCATTCCATTTTGAATATTTTGTAAGATGTTGAAGAAGTTTATAGAATATTGTTGAGAATGTATATGAAAAAGAAATTTTCTGTGTTCATTTGTATAATTTGATGGATGAAATATGAAATGTTATATTGTATTTTAGAGTTTGATTGATTGATTGGTTGATGATTTGTTTGTTTAGTGATTGAGGTTAATGACAGTGTTTTGTTGTGGGTGATGTTTCGAAATGAGTGAGGTGGGGAAAGCGATTATTTGAGGTTGATTCGATTGAATGTCATCATTATAGTGATGATGACATTGTCAAATTATGCTGCCTTTTGGTATCATTTGATTTTTTGAGCACCTCATCGAACCAATCGTTCAACAACGAATTAATCAGTGTAATTTGTGTTTTTGATGATTTTCTATTGGCAGATTAAATTTTTATTTGTTCTGCTTGGAATAGTATCGTGTATCGTCGCTCAATATTTTCGAATATTTATCACTTTCTTATAGATCTCTGCGCAATTCAATAAAAATTCATTGATGTGTGAAATGTGTTTTATATCTCATCGATAGTCTGTCAGTTGGCTTGAATAGTCTCGAATCGCACTATCAATAAATCACTTACTCACAATTAGTGAATGAATTTAATGCGTTTTGAATGAGTGAATGAATCAACGAAGTGTTTGTGTTTGTATTTCACTGACTGCTTATCACTGCATTGAAAATACTCGAAATTATCAAATTCCATTGACGAATACTTGAAAGAATGTGAATTTGTATGGTTTTTATCAAATTTCAGATGTATTAATTTGAGTTTTTGGTCGAATTTTATTTGAATGAACATTAGTAATTAGTAAATTGAGAACGTTCTGAATGCTACATTATTCATTGGCTTGATGTAGATACTCGTGAAGGTGTTACACGTTCGATTGAGTTTAATTTGGACAAGAAAATCTAAAATTTATGAATGAAGCTTACGTACATATGTAGAACTACAGTAGTTTCCGTCTGTAAGCAACGTTTTTTCATATTACTTTAAAGTTATTCTAGCGTACTTCTTTTGATCTTCTTAAAGCAAGAGTCCTCATAGGAGTGAAGGCGGAGGTAAATTACCCATTTTGGGTAATTTGGAGGTATCAGGGGTAATGGAGGAGTCCTCTTAAGGGAAATTAGTCAGATGTTAAGCGTAGAAACAGTAAAGCATTGTAGCTGAGGTGGTAATGACGGTCTGTCAGACCATCGAAGGGGTAGTCGAGTACTCTTCTGAAGAGTTGTCTCATCTCGTCTCACGATCAGTGAGCATCGTCTGATTACAATTGGCTC